CCCCCCACTCTCGCCGTCTCTGGAGTCAGATGTGGTGATATGATCTGATGCGTTTAAGTACAGTGCAAGTTTTGCCTCGTGTTGAATGTTTTGCACAATTTATTGAACCATTAAAACCCCTAAAATTGCGCCTCTTGCGAGCAAACAATCAGTGAAGGTGATCAGTTGAAAGAAAAATCAAAATATGTTCGCCACAGAGTTATCGAATCCCGCTATTTTCTAAAACTTTTGATCATGACTGAATTTGTCCTGGATTATTTTGCTGATGGACCTTTAGTTGGACACGCCCCATGAAGATTCACCTCCGCGTATTCTGGTTCTTTCCTCTCAAATAGCACCTGAGCCGTCAGGGGCGCATTTGAACCTGGTGCCAGTTTCCCGGAAAACTCGATTCGAATTTTTTCACATTGCTTCAGGTTGGCGTTCTGAATCTGTCCCGGGAAATTCTCGATGTAGTAGGTTTGTCCGTCTTGGGATTTTCCGGAAAGCTTGGCTGCGTTCAGATTGGATATTTCAGCAACTGGTCTGGAAAACTCCAAGATAACTTTCCATCCGCCTCGGACAGAATCTATCACTTGCAACTCAAACCTCATCTTGAAGTTATTTGGCGGCCATTGATGAATCAATTCTACGCCGGCGCGTTCTTGTGGGGCCGGTGGTCCAGGAGCTGGGGCAGGCAGATCAAAATCTTTACATTTCGTCGCATTTGGATTGAAAACGAAGAATGCATTCGGTGCAGCTTCGTACAACTTCGCTTTGTAGCAGTTAAATTCAAGGCGGAGATATGATTTCGCTTTGAGCTTCTTGTTGTAGGGCCGGGGTCCGAGACAAAAAGAGTCGTTAGTTGATGCTTTTGGAAGCGAGACTGTCGCCTTGTCGATAGCAAAATTCTTCGTGCTGATATTTTTGGTGAACTTGAGTGATATGCTCCAGTAATTCACAGCCTCTGGGACGTGGTATTCCATGATCATTTTAAAACCAGAATTCGATTCATCGACCGGCTTAAGTGGATAGATCGGTATAACTTGTTGAGGTGTCGTGGGCTGAAACTAAAAACATTTAAATATTTTTAACAATGTTTTTCATATTATTATTTTTTTTATCAGAAATAAACTTTGATCTAGAAGCTAAATCAATGTTAGACCAATTAGACAAATAATATCAGAGAGATTGACAATAACTCAATGTTTACTGACTGTAAGCATTTTGCTGGATTTTTATTTCCCATGGACTAAACAAATAAGTATAATCATTTGTGACAGAAACAAAAGAACCAATTTTTTGATGGAGTGGAAGGCTTCAGAGAAAGAGGAATACTTATCGTAAGCGTTTCAAGGACTTAGTACTTCCCAACATTAATTCGGATCTCTTCCTTCAGTTCCTCGTACCACTCGTAAGATTTTGTTTCCAATCCACTATTCAAGAAGGCCAAGTCTTTACCACAGAGGTTAAGAGAATCGATGTGAAATTAGCTTTTTTAATTTTAGAGGGTCAGTGTAATGTTTGAGGCGAAAACGCTTAAACTGTGGAGCTACATGAAGTCAAAATGCAACTTTAAGCATGTGCCAACAGAAAAAAACCAAATTAGAAACCAGACAGTTGACCCTTTTCTAGAAGTGAGGCCGAGAAACATGGGAACGAAAACAAAATCGGTACTCTCTTCTCTACTCTCTTCCGTCTCTAGCCTTGTCCCGTCATCCCATTCGTGTCGTGCTAATTTGAATCATCCCCATGCCTCTCGCACTTCTAGAAAAAAGCGAACACAACTGGGGTCGAGTCAGCTCCAAAGTCGCGAGTTTACCAACCGGGGTCTGGGTGGGGAGTCGAGGACTTTTGTTTCCGCCTTTGAATATAACTGTGACGTTACCAGGGGGGGAGTTTCTCTTGCCTTTGTAGGCCACCACAGCAAATGTTAGAACTTGACCCGTTGCCAATTTTTTATTGAAATATTCTTCTTTGAGATCATGTATTCTTTGATCGGCAGATTTCTTTAAGACGATCGCTCGCCATACGTCGATCTTCTTGATTGGCTGGGAAAATATCAGTGCGATCCTCCAACCGTTAGGGACTGGGTACTGCATTTTGACGGTGATGATGAGCTTGAAGGCAATGGCCCAGTCGTGCTCTAATTCCGCTGAGCCGTAGATCATTGGCGAGTCAGCGGTCTTACACCTCAAAGCTCCCAAAAGGACCAGTGAAATGGACCAATACAAGTGCATATTTCCTGAAGTGAGACAAAAACGAGGCAGCCAATTTCCAAATAGAAGATTAGGAGACTTTTCATGGGTTCCAAGGGTAGGACGTCAATTTTTCCTTTTACCATACGCAGACATAAATTAAGACTACTTTTCAGCACCAATTGTTTTTAAAATCAATCTAAATTGTATTCAGTATCTGAGCAACGTTTCTTAAATGCAGTTTTGAAGTTATGAAAACATTGATCTTTCCCTTTGTTCTCGCTCAGTATATTTAGATGTAAAGCGTAAATAATAAAACTGTTTAGAGCTTGCAGCTTTACAAACAAAATTTGTTCAGTTCGTTGTTCGATCTTTTTTTCACTTCAGCTGCATCTCTTGTTCTAAGAAATCTATCAAAGTTTCCGTATTTACATTTCCCAAAGCATTCGATGACATACTGCAAGACACATTTCCATTTCTGGGTGCAAGTATAGACATTCTAGATTTTGTAATTCTAATCTCCAAAATGAGCTCTTTGAGATATTCATTTGTGAAATTGTAGGACAAACTCCAGCCAGAGGGGGAGGGGGGGGTGGTGGATTTAAATCATACTAATTCCAGTGTTTGAGTTATTTTCCTTCAAAGAAAATAAATGGGACAGACTTTGGAACTGAAACTTGAAGGACTTATCAATAATGTAATTTTCAAAAGCGAGGGTGCAAATCAACTCACATAACATTTGTACTCAGCTTATCCTCATGATCTCATCTTTCAGTGTAAAGTTTTTTCAAACCGGTTCTCTAAAAAACGTGTTTCTATGATTCAAATGGCTGATATAATTATTCCCTCCTTTCCCCCTTCCCCCCCCCCTCCCAAACTAACCAAATTAATCCTTGATTCCCTCAACATAGCAGTACCGGGCTCGGGAGATTCTCAAAGATAGACAAGTATTTACAACAGTCAACGGTTTACCTTAAACAGCAGCTTTTCTACGTTCTGTAAGTAATGAAAAAAAAATTGAAATATTACAGATTAAAGATATCATAAAAACATCAAAACCTCTTCATATTTCCCCCGCCTAACACGATCGACGGAAGCTGTCACATCAGCAAATGATGCAGGTACATTTATTGTAAGAAGTAGAATTTGTAAAATTAATAACTCTTACCAAGAGACGTCAGGGCAATCTTTGTATCACTGATCAGAACTGTTCTGCTGTGGAGAGGTGATATCTTCTTTTGTTCATCGCATGTTACCTTGACAGACAGTCCTGCCTCTTGAAACAATCTCTTGTCCAAATAATTTAATGTAATCTTTTTCTTTCTTTCCTCTACCTTTGTGATGAACTCTTTACAAAAGCAAACAAATATCTTTTACGGAAGTAAACAATATCATCGCACATTATGGATTCGCCTTTGGAACATCTTGCAACCCTAAATCAATGCTCAGTATTGCCATCCGGCGCGGCAGCTTAAGAGAAAGCAATTGCTTTCGACTTTAAATGAATATTTTACGATCTGCCGCCATTCTAAGAGTGGAATCACCTGGTAGAAGGGAAAGTAAATATGATCCAATTCCAGTCTGAACTGTCCCAACCCGGTAATTGTTCTCTTCGAGCTGTTTACGAGTTTTGCTGTGTTTTTTGTGTCAATTCTCATGATCGGTTTCGATGAAATAACGACAAAACAGGGACTGTTTATTTTTCAGTGAGAGCTGCGTAGAATCTCTCTTCCTCCATCGACTTCTACATGGGGGAATTGGAGAAAAGAGAACGTATAATAGGCAACAAGTTATTGCGAAAGAGAAAACCTCTTGAAACACTCAGACTGTTCAAATAAGAAAAAAATTATGTTTCAATTTTGCGCTATTAATTACGGAAACGGGGAGTTCTGATTCAAATGTCAAATGAATAAGAGCTTTTTAGATACACTTGGATTTATTTCGCAATGATGAATTGCCTTAAATAAGACATTTTCTCAAACGTTTCCTCGTGGCGCTAGCTGAAATCCAAGTAAAACAAGTTCAACAAAAGATCTGTTTTAAGTTTTTTAAATACATCAAGTACTGATCATACCCGAGTTAGACTACTCAAACCACAAGATTTTATTTCTGCTCTACAGTCGGTGATTAATTTTAATACAAATAAAATGTCAATGGAACAGGAAACTTTCAGTGGTGCTATTTATCCTTCGTAGAAAGTAGGAAGCTCATTTCCGAGAATAACTCTCCTTTCTATGCCTGACTCATCAATGGCTGCCAAACGGATTATTCCACCTGATGAACCATCTCTTGACATAGCCAACGCCACAGCTGAAAGCAAAAAAGAAATTAAAAATTAATATTCAGTAAATTGTAATTTTCCAAACCTTTCGCCACACATTTCTTGTAATTTAAGCTCTGAGTGTTAAGTACTAAATCAAACAATATCTCAAAATGATGATGCTATTTCCTCTTGTCACCTTTCTAAGTAAAAATGTATTGACATTGACAGGAGAAATTCCCCATGGGTCACTACTAGAAGTGATAGGGTTGTTACAGTAGTTTGTTAAAGTTTGCACTGGAGCCAAGTGATCTATCTTCAGGGTAGCATAGCAAATGTTAGAGTTTGGAGGGGGAGAGTGGGGGGTGGCTACGGTTGAACGCATAAGCTCCAGCCAACAAGGCAAGGGAATGGGGGCATACTTAGCACAGAGCTTATGCCACTTTCCAAAGCATTAAACCATGAAACCCTTAGACTAACTAGCATCTCAATTCTCCCTATGTTATCACCCCTGGATCACACATTAAGGTTATGAGAATAAAGGAAATGATCACCAACTCAAGAGGCTCTTGCTTGTTAAACAAATAATTCTCTGACCCCTCTAATGGAAACCTGATTTCTGCAGAGATCCCAAGGCCACAGGTCATAGGGATCTATATGTACCAGTAGCCAATATCATTTAAATAGCACCATTCAAAATGTTCTCTGGAAAGTTTTGAAAGATGTTTCAATAATATCTGTCATTACAAGGCCTCCCTGTGACAAAGCCATAGGTCATCACACCAGCTTCTGGGGTAGACAAAAAAAAAAAAAAGGTTTCCAAGTGCATTTCAATACCAACCATTTGCCACAAATTTGAAACACTCCTCCTTTGTCATTCCATGTTTGTAAGTAGCATCACAATGGCCATAGATGTAAGTACTTCCAGATCCTGGGGAAAAAAAAAACTTACACATTGAAAATCTTCTCAAAATCATTGTGAACTATCTTGCATTTAAACCTGCATGAGACTTCCAACAAGGTATCTACTAATTTAAAGTGTCTTTTAATATTTACCTCCTATGGCAAAGGGCTGCCTCACACACATTCCACCCAGGGGAATTGAAAAAACCTATAAAAAAATAATATCAAACATTTGTAAACTAATTACATACTTAGCAAAAACTATTTAAAACCAAAAGATTCTACAGTAAATACAGATAAAATCATGCCAAATTTGCATATACACTGTAGCCTTATGCAATAAAGTAATCAAGCACTCAAATAGTTCCAGACACTACATGTACGTGAAATATTTCAACACTTTCAGTAATATACATATGCCTCTGAAAATTATATATGATTGGTAACCACAATTATCTTAGTACCTTTATTCTGGAATGCTAACTGACATCTAGTTTTATCTATTATTGCAACAATTTTTTTTTCTTGAATGTTTTCCTCCTTACTGTGAACATTTGGTCCCATTTTAACTTTTGCAAACTACTGATATCAGGGTTATAACTAAAAATTGACCGATATAATAACAAAGAGCAAGCGATTAATTTTGTCCAAATTATTGTCATATTTGACAGCTTGAGTATTATGCACTGATTGGGTCAATTCAGTTTAGTTGGAACCATTGTGCTTTTCCAATAATGTGATCAGAAGCACAAATGTTCATTTAAAGTTCCAAAACCATAATGCAGTTGGTTTCTTTCACAAAATATTTCTACTGAATTGCACAGCCTTCATCAGTCTGTTGAAGTAAGTTATTACACAGCAAAAGACTTTATAACCACTTGCTCAGAGTGCCCCTCCCCTCTGATGGGAGCATGGTCTGGAAGATCTTTGGAAGCTCAAGCTCCTTGTTTCTTTAAACTCTTTAATCTCTGTAAGTGACCAGCATGTAATTTCTCCTTACAGTAATACTGCTGAATCATTCATTAAGATCATGAAAATAACAGAAATAGTCGCCAACCTAACAAAACTCTTGATTGTTAAACAAATTCTCCCTGTCAGTACCAAAGGAACTGTACAGAGAAGGGTATGGAGAATATGGATACTGATGTTAGGGTGTAAAGGGTTAACTGATGGACATCTCATCTTGACCTCTATAGCCTCTTTATTGTCCTCTTGTTGTGATTGGTTGATTCTATCTAAGTGATGCTGGTAACAGCTGTAGCATTACTGTTAATAAAATATACTCATCTTACCTGTCCTCCTTCTCTCTTATCCCAACCTGCACAAATAATGCCAGCTGTCAGTGAATCGCGGTTTCCATAGCAAACCTCACGGAAGACATTAGCCACTGTTTTCACAAGTGGCTGTTCACCCATTTCAATGCTTTAGGAAAAAAAATGATTATCAAAAGGTTATCTTTTCAATTCAGTGGCATTTTATTTTAACAGTGAATACACTACTACATGAAGTGGTACAAGACTTCAATTTTTAAAACTTCCCTCAAGAAATTTAAATCAGTTTACAAAATATTACCATCAATACATCCCATTGAGGTTTAACACTTTAACTCCCAAAAGTGATTAACAAGTAATTTTTCTCTATAATACCCATACATTATCCAGAAACAGGTTCTGAGAGAATCCAAACTTATCAGTTGGAAGTTGTTATCTTGATAAAACACTAAATTCTCATAC